GATGGGGGAGATCTCGACCCGGCTCACACAGGTGTCTGGGAGACCAGAACTGGAAGCAAAAAATGACCATTTCAATACTTGGGTCATTAACAGCTACTGGCACCTGATGAAAAAAGATTATGGAAATTGTTGGTGGAAAAATTGCAATGTATGGCCAGCCGCTCTAACACGAGGCGGTGGCGCCTTGGATGAAAGGCAACTTCGGCACCAAAAAACTCAGGGAGGACAAGCAAACTTTTCAAAAAACAAACCTAACGCAATAAATCAAAAGCTATATAAAGAAAACTTGGGGCCAACCTACTTATCTAATCAATGCAAGGGGCTCTGCCGGTTGGCGCCGGCCACCGCCCGTGCCGCTGGCGATGTTCGTGGCGAGCTTGGTCCTGAGTCAAGCGGTAAGAACAATGGGTTTTGGACTTGCAGGCTGCTTTGAAGAAATAATTAGGCTTTAACGGTATACAAGGCCTTAAACGATTGAAAAAACCCTTTGGAGGGGCCAAGCAAAACTTGAAAGTTCTCAAACCTAGGCACTCTCAGCCGCCGGGACTGACTCTTCTTCACTGGCATGGCGAGAAGATGTGATGTGAACACACGTGATGTGATGTGATGTGATGTGAAATGATGCAAAGTATATGTGGAGTATTTATGTGGCATGGCTGACGCCGATGAACAATGATGCGATGGTGCCTTTTGCTGGTGAACTGTTGAAGATACGATGTGAAGGCGCGTGTGAAGTGATGCATGATGTGAAGTCGAGTGTGAAATAATGCAGAGTATATTTGGAGTGAGCGGAGTTTCTGCCAGTGTGGAGATTGATGGGGTGAGGCTCATATTTGGTGCAAACTGTCCATCTAGAAGTAAAATATCTCTTATTTGGGCTTTGTATTTCCCTGGATTCTGGCCAAGGTGAAGTGTCTGGTCTATCTCTCATTCTGTCAAGTTCATATACACCTGACCATGATGCGTTTTGTGTATCTAGTTGACGTCTGCATGTGTTGATGTCTGCGTGTACATATTTGGTGCCACCCCTAGGCCTTGGTCCAAAAGGTCATTGCAAAAACAACGAGGTGAAGCAACGATATCGCAATCAAGCTATCCGCTATCCAAGAAAAAACAGTAACTCTTTGTAAATCTTTGCGAAAGCCAGTTTTGTAACTCTTTGCAGATGCATGCTACGGAAAACAAGCTGAAGAAACGGAGTTGGACCACAGACTTCACAGCTTGATGTGATTGAGCTGTTTGGAAGCACAGCAGTTGATTCAGGCCCGAACTGTTTGGGCAGTCGTCGTTGTAAAGCGTTCGGGCCTCAAGAACAAAGCTCAGTGGAAGGAGTCGTTGAACAAGAGTTCAAATGCAACAGTGTTGATCACTGGCGCATATTTCTTGATATCTGTGAGAACGCTCAAGCTAGCAAAAGAAGTCAAGCTCAAGAAGACAAACAACATACCTTCACAGCTTGGTCTGATGTCATCACTATTTTTAGAAGGCTATATATAGCCATGTCATCCACATCAGCAAAGCTTATGGCTTATCACTTGCTCTCCACTTTTGCGTCGCGACGAAGAACGACTTGGCGGCCCTACGAAGGAATGAGCGTCGGCGAAGATTACAAGAGATGTGGCAGGCAGGGACGTTGTGGAAGCACCTTGTTTCATGAATCATGAATCATTCTTGTCAGGAGAAAGAGGCAGCAAAACAAGAAGCAGCAGAAGCATTGAAAGCTTGCGCTGCCGCTTCGGAGGCGCAATTGCAAGTTTGTGTCAACAATGAAATTGCGAAACAAACTTTCAGGGCCCATTACGCGTCAGTTTTGCCAGGAGACATGGCGCATGTTCAACACGTGGTGGAAACACAGTTGCTGGTGAAGAATCATGTGTCATGTTGGTCAGGCAAAGGAACAAGCTGACAAGAAGGTCGATGCAATGGCTGAGGCGCCCGAGTGTGTGAGCAAATAAGTGAAAAGGTCTTGTATTGATATGACCGTGTAGCGCCACTAATTTATGGCACTTGCCACTAACCTCGTTTGTCTATATCTTGCCAGTTCTGGATTTGACCAGAACTGGAATTTTGCAAACTCAAGAAACCCATTATTATGTGCATATCATTTCGCCGTTAATGGGAAAGCAAGCAGTTGGGGCAACAAGTTTTGCAAGGAGAAGGACCATCTCTTCAATTCGCTGACTGAGGTGCATCCGGGCGTTAGCAAAATGTTTGTGTATTGAATATTTGTAAACATGGTTGCAGTGCACTCGGAACATGTAGGGAGTCAGGGTGGTTGCCCTCCAAACTATCCACAGGCCCACAAGTTTCGCAAGCAAGCGGAGCGAGATCTTCGCGTGGCCGTGCGCTGAGGTTAACTGGTCTGTTGCAAACCTACTATCTAAGTGTTGAATTCTGACCACTGTTCTTGAAATTTGTGGGAAGGCTGAAGCGACGTTGAACATATTGGGACAAGGCGCCACCAGCATCATTGGAAAGTGTGAGCATCATCCTAACTTTGCGCGGGCAAGAGCGCATCGTTTTTAAAAATGATTTCGTTGGCGCATTTCTTTGACAGGGGGTGGTGCTGGCAGCTCCACTGACCGGCTGCCGGATGAGAAGAAGGTGAAAAAGATGAGAAAAAGAAGAATGAAAAGAAGAAGAAGAAGGAGAGTGTAAAGAAAAAAACGAAGTAGAAGGCTGGGTGAACTGAAGTGGAAACAAATAGATCTCCACAGATTTGAAAAAGAAGCCGCCGAGACTGCGCTAAACAATAGCTTCGTTAGGTATATGGTTGGTTTCCATCATGTCTTTTCCCAAAATGGCGCGCTCGTCGCAATTCCATGGGGGCCCGCCTCTAAATCTCCTTTAAACGTCATCCACACTCAAACCACAGGGATGTTAAACATGAAGGCGTGTGAACTGCAAAAACTGTGAGAGGTGCTTCTTCTGTTTCCTGCTCTCTGCTTGTTTCTTCTTTTTCCTGCTTGCTATCCTGTTATGAAGAAACCCCTAGCGCCAACCTAGCGCTGCCTTGCTGTATCACCATATTCTGCTGGGGGCCCGCTTCTGAACGAAGATTTAAACACATCTACAGCCTTAACCGTTTACGTTTATCTATATTTTTTGAGTAGGGCTTTTTGAGCGCAGTCCATATGTGTTTCTTGACTTTTGTCTGTCGAGAACAACCTGTTGGAGCAAAGTGGGTTCAACGCCAGGCGCGCGTCACATGGCCTCTCGCGTGGATTGAAAAAAGTGCTTTGCTAATGCTTCGGCGCTTGCTTTCAATCTTATTTAGTAGAGCAAGATCTGCAAGTGAGCATTCCGCAAGCTTCAAACTTCAGGCCCAGACCATTGAATTGGCTGTCCTTCCGGGCATGCTGTACCAGGACTGGATGGGAACTGGTTTGCTTAGAGCCGCCAAACCTCTGATAGACAAGGGTCATACTTTTACCAAATGGCTCTCCAAAGCAAAGTCGAATACCCAACCTGGCAACCTGCGGTTTGAAAGTTTCAGAGGTGGAAAGACATATGCGTTGCTGTTGATGGTTGGCCCACTTCGAATAGAACACAGAAAACTGTGTTCAAAAAGATGTTCAGAAGTTAGGCCTTTCTTGTTGGGATGGATTGCTCCCTAGATTTGCAAAGACTTATATTGAAAGTTTGCCAGGCTTCTTAGGTTGTTGAGGCCCTGCCCGTAACCTCCACTCTGACTGGCCAATCGATGTGACGCCCATTCAAGTCCCACTCTCCGTCTTGCTGCCCAGGGGCTACGCAAACAAATACACGCACACAACACACACCCAGTTCTGGAAAAGACCAGAACTGGCAACACACAAAAACATCCTATTTAGCCAGTGTCGGAAAATTGAATAGCCGACACTGGAAGTAATACACACAACACACACCCAGTTCTGGAAAAGACCAGAACTGGCAACACACACAAAAATCTTATTTAGTCCTATTTAGCCAGTGTCGGAAATTGAATAGCCGACACTGGAAGTTGAGCCCAACGATTCCTAAAGAAAAAGAAGATGAGTTGCACCTTTCGGCGCTATTATACACCTTTCGGCGTACTAGTTACAAGTAGTGTTTATTTGATTTTTGTGGGCTGGGCGTGCCCAAGCTAAGGCCCATGAACGCGAGCAGGATGAAGATGATAAAGCCTGCAGTCTCCTTAGTTCATTCCTTAGTTCTTCTCCTGATGAAGCGTGTCGAGGCCTTAGTTTCCTTAGTATCGCTGGTTCCTGACAGGTCCTGAGCCGTGACAAATATATTCATGAAACATTTAAGTAGTCACCAGTTCATGGAGCTCTTTAAGAAAGTTGGCTTGCTACAAAATACTTTCACGTTCTTGCAACACATTCATCATTGCGCAGTATGACCCTTATTCAAAACATCTTTACCAAAAAGTATGTCAAGGATGCGTGCGTCGGTTATGTATGCCCAGCTGATGGTAGGAAAAGCCAGACTGGCAAACGTACATATTATTTGTGTGTGTGTCGACTTCATCGGATTCAGCATTGAGATCTGATTCTTGACATATATTGTACACTGTTTTGCAGTCAATGCAAAATACCTGGACACAAAATAAAAACAAACTAATGAATCAAAGTCTGCCTGCCCCTTCTTTACAAAAACTACAGTGTTCTTTGAATTGTTTTCAAAAACACATGGTCCTGACAACAACGTGAGCCCCATGTCCATTTTTGATGGCAATGTTCTTTGCATCATGCAAGTTGCAGAATTTCGTGGCACTGACAAGTTGACAGTTGCAGCACTTTGGAAATCCGCAGAAATCGTAGCAGGCTCATTGCAGCACTTTGGAATGCCATGATCTGACCAGGATTTTAAAAAATAGCGTCCTTGCTCCTAGTAGCGATGCCAGGAGCCCCTATAGTAGCT